TATCTCTACAATGCTAGTTTAAATGACAATTATTGTATGACGAAGCATAGGTAGTATTTATAGATGTAATATTTTCATACAAGGTCATGATCTGTCACGATCAACTTTAAGCAAGAACTGCTATCATTAAGAAACAAATTTATTAAATTTAATTCAAATTGTCTACTATGTTTATAATGGAAAGCTGACATGTTTATATTTCGCACAAATGACTTAATTGACATTGAATGATTTGATTATCTAGACTTAATTAACTTTTAGATAACTTTCGATTTAATGTTAATAAGTACGCTAGTAGGATTAATCTAGAGGAGTTATTGTTATTCGAAGTTTTATACAATTGTACGTTCATACAATCTTTTAACCGAAAATTGTTTGTAATATAGGGAAATTAAATAGCTTACAGAGAATTACAGCTTTTTATTTTAAAAAACTGTTTTCTCTCTGTATGAAAAGATCTTATCGATTAGAATGCTGAACACAATCAAACATTCCTTAATATCTCATAAGTACTACCGGGAATTCCAGCGATTCTAAACGATAAGATTTTTTCATAAAGAGAGTTATTAAAAATATTAAAATTACTAAAAAAGCCACCTGGTGGGGGGTAGGGAGACTAATAATCGACCGTAGCGACGCCTGCTGGACCGGGCTTTAACTAAAGCAAAAATAAAAATGAGAGTTGCGCATCTATCTCTAATATATTAAGTGTATAATCTATGGTAATAGTGTACAAACTTACAATTCCAATTAATTATAGTCGAATTTCGACTACTGCGGGACTTCTAGTATGTAACAATAGGACCATAGTAATGTTGAATCTTATAATTTCAATTAATTATAGTCGATTTTCGACTACTGCGGGACTACTAGTATTGTAAAGTTTCATCAAAATCCATCGAGTAGTTTTTGCGTGAATAAGTAACAAACATACATCCTTACTAGTTTACAAACTTTCGTGTTTATAATGTTAGCATGCATAAAATGAGCTGAAGTCAATTTATGTGAGACTGTAATCAACTGGGATGATATTAAATGAAACGAGATGAAATGGAATGAAATATAGTCTTAGTAAAATGGTGGTTACTCACCGAGACTGGTTCGGTGGAAATTTTGAAAAAACCTGAGAAATTACGTCTCATTTTCCCACATTTATGCACTTTAACAGATATTAAACAGCTAATAAACCATTGTCATTGCACATTTAATCTAGACGAAACATTAAATTGACAAAACAAAACAATTCAAAGAACTTTGCTCCTCGTGCTCCCACCAAAAAGTCTACTCGATTTTAAATTTCCTTCTTTTCATAGAGCTCCATAGACATTCTTATTTTTCATTCTTGTTTATCTTAAGCACTTTTACAAGAATTGTCAAGTGATTTTGTTTACAAATTTCCTATGAAAATCCGAGCGGAATCTCGGATGTCATATTAAATTTGTAAGAGTAACTCGCGGCGTTAATGTACTTACGTCTAGTAATCACATTCCGGTAATTTGATAGGTCTCGTAACTAATTGCTTCACCGTCAACCCTCAAGTATCCGGTTCATATTTTAGGTGTGTCCCGCGCTATTTCGTTTGCATTCAATTTGAAATTCATAAATCAATCGCCATAAATGTTTCGTATTGTGTCTTTGGTAAAAAGTATTTATCATTCATTAACGTCTAACGCTAATCTCTATGCCAAAAGGCGGATGGTTCGGGGATCCGTTGCTGCGAGAAAAAAAGGAAATTTGCAAAAAAAATCGTTTAACGTGCTGTAAATTAAAAAAATTGTCTAATGTGTAGTTGTTTGAAAAAATACATGGCGTAGTCTTATTTGGAAAACGAACTCAGTAGGTTATTCCATTGCTTAATGAGAAAATCACAGAAAAACAACATTGACATTGGCTACTTACTGTACCTACGGTGATAAAGGCACACATTAATTCTGTTGTTTGAATGATTTAAAAGAAAATGACAATTGAAAATATCTTATATCTCTACGATTGATGTCATGTTAAGTTTAGATTATAACAGAGGACGTTTCATCACAGTACAGCATGTGTGTACAAGAGGCAATATCTGTGTAATTACGCTAGGCCATCCCGCTCAATCTCCAATATCCGCTACACAATCAAGATGGCCGCGCATCCGGCTTCGGCCATGTTGCCTTCACATTACTTATCTAGGTTGACACTTGTTTTTAATAATGTCGAATTTGGAAATGAGGGAGTTCGTTTTTCGCGAAAAGAAAAAGGATATGCTAAGTTATATGCTACTTTTTTCGTGACACCGATTATTTCAATTAACACGTTATATTTATTTATTTAACAGTTATATAACAAAACTAGCCGTACTCGCCCGCTTCGCAGGACATTTAAAATTAACAATATTATTTATTTTCATTATTATTAGGGAGTCCAACACTCATATAAATATTAGCCTATCCATTAAGTACATGTATTTTCTACATGAATACCAAGTTTCAAGTCAATCGGATGCATGGTTCAGTAGTTATAACGGAACATCCGTAAAAACCACTGTAGATTTATATATTAATATAGATATAGATTTAATACTGGTGTAAGAGTGTTTTGTGAGCCCGCATAAGTAGGTAGCACCGCTCACCCTAATCCTGCCGTGAAGCAGTAATGCGTTTCGGTTTGAAGAGTGTAGTAGACGTTATACTGTATAACTGAAACATAGAACTTATCTCTTTTATTTATGTAAGCATAAAAAGCAATTTTACGGACAATAATAATATATCTATATAGTTTTCGTGGTCAGGGACTTTTTACAATGTACTTTCACGACAATGGTAATAATCATTGAAATGGGCAGTAGTCAAAATGAAGTAGGAGATTATGGAAATACTAATCCTAATCACCAGAGTCTATGTTATCCTAGGTTCGGACGTGGGTCGCAAAACAACACTACGTTAGGACGATTTTTTTTTGGGAGGACGGATCACTGGGCTTCCGTAGGTCTTTCCAGGTCAAGCAGGATGGGTGGGCGAGAGCGGGATTAGCCAGGAGGGGCGGGAAATGTTAATTAACACTTAATTACACAGTAAAGCGTGTCTTTGAAAGCTCCTATAGGATACCTTATAGGATGGAGTTCGTCGAGTTACTTTTTTATTACTGCACTCAAGTCCTGGTATAAAATGATTGCTAGACAGATAGGGTCATACATAATAATAATAATAAAGTCCGTTTAATTCCAATCCATAATAATAATCGTTATTACATGCGATTTAATATATACTGGGTAATTTCTTTCATTTTCTTTTACTCTCTATCGTTACTTTCTTCAGGACCATTAATCGGAACCCCTTCTCGGGTAAAGGCCTTCTCCAACTTCTTCCAAACCCTTTTGTTCATGGTTTTCTTTTTCCAATCGCTTCTTGCGATCGCTTTTATTTCTTCTGTCCACATTTTTCTAGGGCGCCCTCTTCTTCTTTTTCCTCTTGGTCCTTTCTACATCTGTAAGGCATCTGACATCTGATAGTCTGTAACGCGACCCAGATGGAAACTCAGTAGGCTGTGTCTGAAAAAATACATTAAATCAATAAAGAAAACATTACACACGCTACATACCATGTATTTGACGCACACATGCATGCATACTATTTATTGTCAAACTTTTGTTCTTGACGTCTGTTGTCCAATTGAGATTAAATATTGTTTGTCTTTGTTAATAATTTTTATAGTATAGTCTTGGCGAAATTTGTGAATTTAGAAGTATAAAGTACAATAATAATAGTGTACAAACTTACAATTCCAATTAATTATAGTCGAATTTCGACTACTGCGGGACCTCTAGTTCGTATTTATTTTGGAATACTTGGTACCTGCTTCGAGGTTCGAGCTTCGATACATTCAGATCATTTAATACGACAGCGGTATTAGTTAGGTCATGGACACTTCCGCGTTTTTGTCGCTTCATACCTACGAGTGCTGTAAACGCAGTTCTCAAAACTTTTCGACGCCATTGTGAAATGTAGGACGCCATCTCGTTCTCTATAACGACACCCTGTTTCCGTTTCCCGTTTGAGAGTTCCGATTAGAAAACCAGTTTTGTGCACAATTATTTGATATCTCACTTCGATGATAAATAATTATAATTTTATCCCTTGCTTAAAACAACAGTTAATACAAACAATATCCACAGATGATGAAACTGATAGCCTTTTTTAGATTTTCACGAGCAACAGAAGAATTGATATATGTACAACCAAACGAACAATTAAAAGTAAAAGGAACCTCATATTGATCCAGGAGCACTCCATCCATCTCGGAATCATCTCCGGGGATGCAAGTCGAGTGAACAACATATTTACTTTGCTCTCCAAGGGTTGCTCTCCGATAAATAACATCAAGATTCAATACCAATAAACTGTTACTGTGAGAATCATTGCATTCGTAAAACTTAAATATTTTTTTGTATTTTTTTTGTGTTGGTTCTTATTCTTTATCGATTTTTTTTAATATTTTTTTTTTTAATTGTAGGTAGACGGTGCCTTATCGAATTGCACTAGAGCCTATAATATCGCAGGGAATACAGATCAACATTTTGTGACTACGCAGCGGACATGTCCAAACTTGGTCTTTGAAATAGGAATGTATTATTCGCGTTTAAACATTACCGTCTCTGTAAGCTAAGAACAGAAGGAGCCCATAGACATCTATAACGTAAATGTGCCACCCACCTTGAGATATAAGTTATAAGGTCTCAAGTACAGTTACAACGGCTGCCCCACCCTTCAAACCGAAACGCATTACTGCTCCACGGCAGAAATAGGCGGGGTGGTGGTACCTACCCGTGCGGGCTCACAAGAGGTCCTGCCACCAGTAATTACGCAAATTATAATTTTGCGGGTTTGATTTTTATTACACGATGTTATTCCTTCACCGTGGAAGTCAATTGTGAACATTTGTTGAGTATGTATATTTCATTAGAATAATTGGTACCCGCCTGGGATTCGATCGCCGGTGCATCGCTTCAACACGAATGCACCGTACGTCTTATCCTTTAGGCCACGACGATTTCTTACCGGTGTTACGATATACATAACAATTTTGACATTTTACGCACTTTTTTTCGGGCTTTGACAGATCCTCCTTCTAGGTGACCGCCCCTAGAGGGTATACGGGGTATTTGGGACTTGACAGTCTGCAGATGTTGAGAGCAGACCGCGGGCAACAACAACGCAACTGCTCTCTGTTCAGATAAGATTAATAAGCTGTCGTTTTATATTGTAAGAAACGATCAATAAAGAGACGTCTTTCATTAGCGTCAAACGAAACGAAATGTAAATGAGAGCACTTCTCGTGTTAAATTAGTGAATCGCAGTAGAGCTTTTAATATAAAGCGCACAAGTTTAAAAAGCTTTAAAAAACAAAGAACAAAATTAAATTTTCACACACAGCACACTCGCTGTGAGATTCAGACGGACATTTCGTTATGTTTTACGCTGGCTGCGGGAGATAGATAATAACGCCTTAATGTGGCGAGAACTTTTGAAGGTTTTCACCAAAAGAAAACTAAGAAAACATAATCTGATTTAAGCTACTTACACAGTGCAAAATATTGCCAAGACTGGTTTCTGTGTCTGGTATATTAAGTGTGAACTTTAAGGCACGTGGCTTCAATTATATAAGAGTCATTCTACTTCTTCACGGTAAAAAGAAGAACGTTGGCAATACGTTTTGATTCCTTTCTCATATCCGTTTCGAATAATCATTATGTATTTACGGTTCCCCGACTGATAACGCGTGGAAACCTCCAATTATATTAGTCGCGTCGTAGAACAACTTCAATCCGCTTAAACTAATTAGTATTTTGGATATTAGTATTGTAGATTTTTATCACGATCAAGTCAAGTTTGTGTAACCAGTAGATTTTGTTATTTATTGGGAATTTTATTGAATAAAAAGAAAAGAAAAAAATGTTTATAAATGTTGCGGGTTTGGTTTTTTTATTAAACTACTAGCCGTACTCGCCCGCTTCGCTGGGCATTTAAAATTAGCATTATTATTTATTGTCATTATTTTTAGGGAGTCCAACACTCATTAGCCTATCCATTGAGTACATGTATTTTCTACATGGATACCAAGTTTCAAGTCAATCGGATGCATGGTTCCGTAGTTATAACGAAACATCCGTAAATCCGCTGTAAATTTATATATTAGTATAGATATTGTGATTTTTTTTATTGCTTAGATGGGTGGACGAGCTCACAGCCCACCTGGTTTTAAGTGGTTACTGGAGCCCATAGATATCCACAATGTAAATGCGCCTTCCACCTTGAGATATAAGTTCTAAGGTCTCAGTATAGTTACAACGGCTGCCCCACCCTTCAAACCGAAACGCGTTACTGCTTCACGGCAGAAATAGGCAGGGTGGTGGAACCCACCCGCGCGGACTCACAAGAGGTCCTACCACCAGTAATTACGCAAATTATAATTTTGCGGGTTTAATTTTTATTACACGATGTTATTCCTTCACCGTGGAAGTCAATCGTGAACATTTGTTGAGTACGTACGTACGTACGATTTTCATTGCGAAGAATAGACTGACTCAATAGTGCTGTAGTTAGCGCCCCTGACTGTTGCGCCGAGGGTTGAGGGTTCGATTTCCGCACCGGGAAAACATCCGTGTTATGAACAGGTTTGTTTGCTCTTTGTCCGGGCGTTTATTATATATAAAGATATTTATTTACACGTATATAAGTACGTATGCCAGTCTCTGGTGCCCATAATACAGGGAATCTTAATTTGTAGTCGAAAGACCGTGCGTGAGTTGTAGCTATTAATAGGTACTAGTGGTCCCCCGGTAGTCAACATTCGACTATAATTTATTGAAATCATAAGTTTGTACACTATTATGATTCTATTATATAAAATACAGGGTGGCCCATAAGTCCTTTGATATGAAAAAAAATTTATTAAAATAAAACTAATTACATTATGAATTAAATTTTTATTTACATAAAAAGCTTAAAAAACGGGAATTATTTTTTGAAAATAACATCTCCTAAATGTAATCCGTTGCGATCACGGCACTCTTGCAAACGACGTCTAAAATTGTCGATGACTGCGCGGCACGTCACTGCTGAAATGCTTGTCATTTCTCTGCGGATGTTTTCTTTTAGGGCCTCAATTGACCGCGGGTTTGTGTCGTATACTTTAGCCTTAAGGTAGCCCCACAAAAAAAAATCCATCGGGGTCAGATCTGGACTACGTGGAGGCCAGGAAATGTCTCCTCTCTTAGAGATAACTTTGCCAGGAAAAAGTTGACGGATAACGGGCATAGCAGTGTTAGAGGTGTGAGAAGTGGCCCCATCCTGTTGAAACCACGTCCTGGCATTAAAGCCTGAAAAGTTTTGCAATTCTGGTATGAAAAACTCTTCGATCATAGCCACATATCGCTCCGACGTAACAGTAACTGCGCGCCCTCTGCCATCCTCAAAGAAGTAAGGCCCTAGGATACCATGGGCTGACATAGCGGCCCAAACAGTCACTTTCGGACTATGTAAGGGCTTCTGATGCTTAAGTTTTGGATTGATGGGGCTCCAATAGCGGCAATTTTGTTTACTAACATGCCCGTTAAGATGGAAATGAGCCTCGTCAGAGAACATTATGTTATTGAAGGAAGTAAACCGATTCAACATTTCATTCGCATAATTTTGTCTTTGAATACCGTCAGTTTCCTTTAATTCTTGAACCAACTGAATTTTGTAAGGGTGCATATGTAAATCTTTCTTCAAAATCCGTTGTAACGATGTCCTGGATACGTTTAATGCTCTGGCGCGCTTACGAGTTGACTGTGTCGGATTTTCGCGAATAGACTGTGTCACTGTGTCTATGTTTTGTTCCGTACGTGACGTCCTTGGGCGACCCAACCGCGGTTTATCTAACGTCGAACCGGTCTCCTCGAACTTAGCAACCCAGTTCTTAATCGTTTGAAGAGTTGGAGTGTCGTCAAAGTTGTGTAAACCTTTGTGTTCTCGAAATTTACGCCGCGCAACGGTTGCCGAATTGTCGTTTTTATAAAACTCGCGCACACAAAACGCACGGTCCGCTCCGGTAAAACGCTCCACCACGACTAAATTCCCAGAAACCGAAGTTACTCCCGCCGCTTCCCCTGCAACGCTCACGCGCGCCCTGTTCGTTTTATTCAAATTTTACTTTTCAAAGGACTTATGGGCCACCCTGTACTATATTACTTATACAATCACAGATTTCGCAATGACTACACTTCAGACAAATATTAATAAAGACAAACAATATTTAATCTGTTCTCAATTTGACCACAGACTATAAGCAATAAGAAAAGTTTCACAATAAACAAATAGTATTCATACGTGTGTGTGCGAAATACACGGTAGTGTGTGTGGTATTTGATTTAATCTGTATACATTTTGCACATAATTTAAAAAAAAAAAAATTGCCCTCCTTCTCTATATTCTATTTATGTACGCGAAATTTGATACTCCTTCGTCCGCGCAATTTTCTTCAAACAGGGGTACAAAGTTTCTGCTTCAGGTATTTATAATTACTAGATGGTTTTTTTTTTAAAAACGCCATCTTGTTGTGTCTTTAGAGCGGCTAGTTGCCCCAATTAAAAAAAAATAGTATTATTATTCGCCAATAGATGTCGGGAAGAGTCATAAAGTTGATTATTGAAAACACGAATAAAACAACATTTTCTGAAAATAAATCGTAGCTAGATCGATTTATCGCCCCCGAAATCCTCTGTATACTAAATTTTATGAAAATCGTTGGAGCCGTTTCCGAGATTCAGATTATATACATTTATGTTTATGATTATGTACAAGAATTGCTCGTTTAAAGGTATAAAATATAGATTATTATCACGACAGAGCAATATGGCAAACCAGAAGGCCGCAGAAGTCTTGGCAGGTTCAAACTCCCCCCACTAAGCGTGGTCTCGCCTTGTCGTGGCGGTGGGGCTTAAGCGTGCACCCCGACACCGTGGAGCAGCGTTGTCTGCACAGGGGTGTCGCGAACTAAGTAGACTGCATACCGTGTTCCCTTTTTCCCACCTTTGCTGGACAAAGGGTGCGTGAAGGGGGCGAGGGCTCCCTTCTGGAGCCCTCTTGGATGCTAGGCCATGTCCCCGGCAGCTCTCTGGTTGCTAAAGGGGAAGGCCCTCCAGAGGGGGGTACCAGTACGCCGGCGTGGCCACATCATGGTCAGACGTGTGGGTCTGTCAGTAATGGCAGACCCCAAGAGGATGAGAAGTGAACCGGAGGGCACTCCCTTCCGGTCGCTGGTTGCCATGTCCCCGGTTGCCTCTTGGCAGCTACAGGGGAAGGCCCTCCAGAGGGGGGTACCGGTTTACCGGCGTGGCTTCGTAGAAGCATACCGTAATCCCTACCGAGTAGGGGACGGGGGCCGCTGCCTAGCAGGGGCCGCGAGGATGCGAACCTCTATAAAAAATGCCCTAATCCTAAGCTTGTGACGTGCCCGGTGATGGGATGAGTGGCTGGAGGGAGTCCAGTCGTGAGGGCCGTCCCAGGGGACCGACCCCTGGTTAAATATCAAAGGAAAAATTAATGATGGCAAAGTTTTTAAAAAAATTACCCCAGGAGGGTACCACCCTAGGTGGAGAATCCCTCCGTGCTTCCACCTTGGTGGGAGCACGCAGCCCCGCGTATTCTGGGGGGGGCAAAGCTTGCCAGGACGAAGGGGGCTGTGTGACGGGCAGCGGAAAACCCGTCGAACAGAGATACGCCAGCGCTGACTTGACGCCTTCTGGGCTCGTCAGTGACAGCGAGGCGGCTGGCTCGAAAGAGACAACCGCCAAAAAGATAAGGCGGAAAAGGAAATCCCAGCGAGTTTCCTCACGCGAGGGGGGAGGGGAGCCAGCGTCATCCTCTGGCGCAGATGCCCCGCCGGAGAAGGTACTGGTAGTCTCCGATGCGGCCTCTGCTGCGGAGGACATGCCGCCACCTAAAGAAAGACCCGCCCGGAGGAGGGGCGCGCCGTCACCGGCGCAGTCATCGGCGTCGATGTCTGTCGCCTCACTGGACGGGCGAACGACAGAGGAGGAAGATGGCGGCCTTCAAGACCCTGCCTTGGTCATAGACAGGGCCATGAGGACCGTCAAGTCATATGCGGCCAACGGCACTAAGACCAAAGCCGCTGGCCGTAAGCTGCGAGAGGTGGTCTCGCAGGTCTCGAAGGTTCTGCCTTCGGTTGCTTCCGCCAATGACCAGGTGGTACAGCTGATGGCGGAGAATTCGAGGCTTCGAGCACTACTTCAAGCCCAACAGCAGCCTGGTGATGAGGCTGCTGCTTCGAGGAGGGCAGCGGCATCGACGCCGTCGCCCGCACTGCCCCGGGCCACTGAGTTGCGGACTCCTCCGGCTCCTGTACCGGCAGCGACGTCATGTATCACCGGGGCCCCTCGGAGTCACCGTTCTCCGGCGCTGACTGGCGATGGGTGGCCTGTGCTGCCGCCACCGCGCGCGGCTGAGCAGCGTCCACGTCTCCCGTCACCGCGCACTAGAGAGATGACCGTTACCAAGCGGCAGCAGGCACTCGTGGGGCCACGGGAGCTAGCTGGAAAGTTCAGCCTTGACGAGGTCATCAGTCGCACTGTCCAGGTTGTACTAGAAAGGCTGGACGGCAGGCTGGCGGCCCTCGAGGCGCAGCTCATTGCTCCGGCTGACGCTTGGCGACCGGCATATGCCGCGGTGTCGGATACTCCAGCCGCTCGCCCCGCCCCCGTACGGGCTCCAGCTACTAAGTTGGGCCCGGGACGGGATAGAACCAAACGGGGGGGCGGTGCCAACGCGAAACGACCATCGCAAGCACCCCAGCCCCGTCCGCTGTCTCCGCCTCCGTCTAACATGGACGAGGGGTGGAACGTGGTGGCCCGGCGGGGTAACAAGAAGGTCCCATTGACAGCTCCACAAGTGGGTGGAGCGCCGGCGGCCACGGCGGCTCAGGCTGCTCCCCAACAGGGTCGAGCGCCTGTAGCCGCCAAAAATAAAAATAAAAATAAAAACAAAAAAACAAAGAAGCCACCACGCGCGCCGCGATCGGCGGCAGTGGTCCTAACGCTGCTGCCGGCTGCCAAAGCAAAGGGCATGACATACGGAGATGTTATTGCTCGGGCGCGCGCGGCAGTTGACCTGGATGAGATCGGGGCGGGGGAGGGCCTCCGCTGTAGGCAGACAGCCAATGGGGCCAAGCTGCTAGAATGTCCCGTTGCCGACAGTCCCGGCATCGCGGAGCGTCTGGCGGCAAGGCTCCGTATGGTTCTGCCTGAAGAGGAGGTGCGGGTGCATAGGCCGGTCAAGATGGCTGAATTGAGAGTGACCGGCCTGGACGACTGCACCACCAGGGATGAGGTGGCGGCGGCCGTCGCTGCCCAGGGCAACTGTGCCCCGCAGAATATAACCGTAGGCGAGCTGCGCTCTGGTTATACCGGGGCCGGCTCCGTGTGGGTACGTTGCCCGGTGGAGGCGGCCGTCGCCCTGGCTGCTCCTCCGCCTGGGAGACCGTCGGGGGATCCGGGCAGGTTGCGCGTGGGCTGGATAGCAGCCCACGTGCGCCTGCTAGAACCGCGTGCCTGGCGGTGCCTAAGGTGCTTCAGCACTGGGCACTGCCTCGCCAGGTGCGTGAGTGCGGTTGACCGCAGTGGACTGTGTTTCCGCTGTGGTCAGCCTGGACACAAGGCGGCCGTGTGCTTGGCTGCGCCGCATTGTTCACTATGCGCGGCGGCCGGACGCAAGGCTGATCACCGGACCGGGGGCAAGGCATGCCCCCCGGCCGGCAAAAATGCAATTCGAAATTGGCGCCGCCAAGCTAAGCGGCGCCAAAAGAAGCGGTCGGCCGGGGGAGCACCGGCTGACACTTTGGCCCCCGCTGAGGCGTTCGAGCCCGATAGCGGGGACAATAGAGTAGGGGAGGGGGCGATGGATGTGGTCCAGCCTTAATGGATCACACCTATCGCTTCCTCCAAGGAAATTTGAACCACTCCGCCGGGGCTCAGGACATGCTGCTCCAGACTATGGCGGAGTGGTCAATTGACGTGGCTGTGGTCGCCGAGCCGTACTTCGTTCCCCCAGCGGACGACTGCTGGTTTGGGGACGTTGATGGCTTGGCGGCCATACATATAAGAAGATCCGCGATGATTCCTCCCCTGGCGATGGTGACCAGGGGCCCCGGGATCGTCGCGGTACAACTAGAAAATACCGTCGTGATCGGGGTGTACTTCTCTCCAAATCGGCCTACCGTCGAGTTCGAGCGGTTTCTGGACGGGCTAGAGGTGATCGCTCGTCACCTCTCTCCCCGTTCGGTGATACTGGCGGGGGACTTCAATGCGAAGTCTGTCGCTTGGGGTTCCCCATCCACGGACGCTCGTGGTAGGCTGTTGGAGGAGTGGGCGGTCGCGGCCGATCTCTGTATCGTTAACAGGGGCTCGGTCGCGACATGCGTGCGGTGGATGGGAGAGTCTATCGTGGACTTGACGTTCGCGAGCTCGTCCATCGCACAGCGCATCCTGGGCTGGGGCGTGGTGGTGGGGGCGGAATCGTTGTCGGATCACCGGTATATCCGGTTCGATCTTTCCGCTCCCGCGCCGACGCCGGCCGCAGGCGCTCGCGGGGTTAACCCCCCGCGGAGTGCGTCCCGATCATTCCCTAGGTGGGCATTGAAGCTCCTGAAGAAGGAGCTCCTGGTGGAGGCCTCTATAGTGGCGGCGTGGACGCCCATGCGTCCACACCCTTTCGACGTGGAGGCTGAGGCCGAATGGTTCCGCGGCGCGATGCACCGCATATGCGATGCCTCGATGCCCCGGGTCGGCCCTCGGCATTGTGGACGGCGGCAGTCGCCCTGGTGGTCGCCTGAAATTGCGAGATTGCGTGCAGTCTCCATTCGGGCGAGCCGCCAGTGTGCTAGACACCGCCGTCGCCGTCACCTGCGGCGCGACGACCCCGTCGCGTTCGCAGAGGAGGAGACCCGGCTGCACGGCGAATATCGCGCTGCGAAGGACGCCCTGCGGCTGGCCATCAGGCGGGCCAAGGAGCAGAACATGGAGAGACTCTTGGAGGCGCTCGAAGCGGATCCATGGGGGAGCCCGTACAGGCTGGTGCGCGGTAAACTGCGCCCGTGGGCCCCCCCTTTGACTGAGCGACTCCAGCCTCAACAGCTGCGGGACATCGTTTCGGCGTTGTTCCCGCAGGAGCGGGAGGGTTTTGTTCCCCCCGCTATGGGTGAGCCGTCGGACGCCATCGACGGTGAAGCCCCTGCTGAGGTGCCCCGTATTACTGGGGCAGAGCTCCGTGTGGCCGTTGTAAGGATGACTGCAAAGGACACGGCCCCCGGCCCGGACGGAGTCCATGGCCGGGTGCTGGCCTTGGCCCTCGATGCCCTAGGGGACCGGCTCCTGGAGCTATTTAATAGTTGCCTGGAGTCGGGACGGTTCCCGTTGCTCTGGCGGACGGGCAGACTTGTGTTGTTGCGGAAGGAGGGGCGCCCGGTGGATACAGCCGCCGGGTATCGTCCTATCGTACTGCTGGACGAGGCGGGAAAATTGCTGGAGCGTATTCTGGCTGCCCGCATCGTTCAGCACCTGGTCGGGGTTGGACCTGACCTGTCGGCGGAGCAGTTCGGCTTCCGGGAGGGCCGTTCGACCGTGGATGCAATACTTCGGGTGCGGGCCCTCTCGGACGAGGCTGTCTCACGGGGTGGGGTGGCGCTGGCGGTGTCTCTTGACATCGCCAACGCATTTAACACCCTGCCCTGGTCCGTGATAGGGGGGGCACTGGAGAGGCATGGAGTGCCCCTCTACCTCCGCCGGCTGGTTGGCTCCTATTTGGAGGCCAGGTCGGTCGAATGTACCGGGTACGGTGGGACCCTTCACCGTTTTCCGGTCGTGCGGGGTGTTCCGCAGGGGTCGGTTCTCGGACCCCTCTTGTGGAACATCGGGTACGACTGGGTGCTGAGGGGTGCCCTCCTCCCGGGCCTCCGCGTTATTTGTTACGCGGACGACACGTTGGTCGTGGCCCGGGGGGATGATTATAGAGAGTCTGCCCGTCTCGCCACAGCGGGGGTGGCCCTCGTTGTCGGGAGGATAAGGAGACTGGGCCTCGACGTGGCGCTCAGTAAATCCGAGGCCTTGTGGTTTCACGGGCCACGGAGAGCGCCACCTGTCGACGCCCACATCGTGGTTGGAGGCGTCCGAATAGGGGTCGGGGTGCAGTTGAGGTACCTCGGCCTCGTGTTGGACAGCCGGTGGGCTTTTCGTGCTCACTTTGCGGAGCTGGTCCCCCGATTGATGAGGACAGCCGGTTCTTTGAGCCGACTGCTCCCGAATATCGGGGGGCCGGATCAGGCTGTGCGCCGCCTCTACGCAGGGGTGGTGCGATCGATGGCCCTGTACGGTGCGCCTGTATGGGCTGAGCCACGCAACCGGGCCGCTATGGCTCGGTTCCTGCGCCGGCCGCAGCGCACCGTTGCTATCAGGGTCATCCGTGGATATCGCACCGTCTCCTTCGAGGCGGCGTGTGTGTTGGCGGGGACGCCGCCATGGGAGCTGGAGGCGGAGTCGCTCGCTGCCGACTATCGGTGGCGCAGCGAGCTTCGTGCTCTGGGCGTGGTGCGTCCCTCCAAAAGTGAGCTGCGGGCGCGGAAGGCCCATTCTCGGCGGTCCGTGCTCGAATCGTGGTCGAGGCGGTTGGCCAACCCCACGTGGGGTCTACGGACCGTTGAGGCGGTTTACCCAGTCTTTGATGACTGGGTGAATCGTGGCCGAGGACGCCTCACCTTCCGTCTGGTGCAGGTGCTGACTGGGCACGGATGCTTCGGAAAGTATCTGCACCGGATAGGAGCTGAGCCGACGACGAGGTGCCACCATTGTGGACACGACCTGGACACGGCGGAGCATACGCTCGCTGTCTGCCCCGCTTGGGAGGTGCAGCGCCGTGTCCTGGTCGCAAAGATAGGACCGGACTTGTCGCTGCCTGGCGTCGTGGCGTCGATGCTTGGCGGTGACGAGTCCTGGAAGGCTATGCTCGACTTCTGCGAGTGCACCATCTCGCAGAAGGAGGCGGCGGGGCGAGTGAGGCAAAGCTCTCCTCACTACGCAGAAACCCGCCGCCGCCGAGCAGGGGGTCGGGACCGGGGTCTCGTCCGTAACCCGGCCCCCTAAGAGCTTCGGGCTCCACCCGCTTTGTGCGGGGAGGAGCTTAGGCGTGGGGCGGCGTGGTAGGTCGCGTTCCCCCGACCGCTCCGGGGGAAGGTGTAGCGCGGCGCTATCAATCGGGCTCTTGGCCCGTCGACCGAGGGAACCGGCGGTCGTGTTGCTGGCGGCCGCCGGTCCGGCGTCTGGGGGACGGCGGGATGGATGTAATGTGCACTGCGTAAACCCTGTCCCGCCGTCTCAATAGCTCCGACTGGGTTCCCACCCGGTCCGGGGTAGGGCGCCGGCTGTGAGCGGCAGGAGTTTTTAGTGAGGTTCGACTCCCACATACCCCACCTGCTGTGCGGGTGGGGCTCCGGCGATTTTCTCCTGTGGAAAAAAAAAAAAAAAAAAAAAAAAAAACCAGTCGACTTAAAGTGATAGTGGTGGTTCCGTGGGTGATAGTATAGTAGCAAGTCAGAGTATGGGTCCGTACGTTCTAATAGACTGTATTTGTTCAAGGTCTTCTTTGGGTCATAAATTATTCTTTTTTTTTGGTAGCTTAACGTGTTTAATGTTGTTTTTTTTTTTCAGTGACCGCGTATTTCGTGCTTGTCGTGAATAGCTTGAGGATGTCTCTCAAGTATCTATCTGGTGATATTTCAGTGATATAAAATGTTTTGTTTTTTCAATTAAAATTGTGTGAAATATCGAGGAGTGTGTTTATATCCGATCATGGTAGATGGAAGATTTGATTTTTGAATTAATGCTGTCGCTTCATATTTTTTAAACATATACAATTCGCTGGACTCCATTTTATTGGCCCTTATTTATTCTATTGTCACCAGTGTTGCCAAGTTAAGCAGGCTCGTTTCACGGGAGTGAGGGAATACCTAGTCTTGCGACGCGCACGCTTTTCCTTAACATCGTATGCCAGCGACCATACGCCCTACCTCATTGTGATTGATTACCGTCGCATGATAATATCCAATAAATATTTACATATACCCCGCCAGAACTTGATCGAATTTCAGTGCATATATTCTTCTTATCAGTCCATGGACGTCTACTGCTGGACATAGGCCTCCCCCAAGCCTCGCCACAAAGACCGGTCCTGCACTGCCTGCATCCAGCGGATCCCCGCGGACCTCAATAGATCGTCGGCCCATCTTGTGAGAGGCCTACCCGCGCTACGTCTTCCAGTACGCGGTTGTATATATATATATAAGCATGGATATGAACATCTTTATTGCCATACGTATAACGAAGATAAGTTTGCTAGCGAAGACAGTATATTGGTATCGTAGTCAAATAGCACTGTTGCTCATTCTGTGATGAATACATTCTCTTTCACAGTAAGGATTCGAGGTAGAGTATTGTTATTCTAGGCTATACGGCTAAAAAAGAACACAAAAACAAAGTTAATTTTATTTTATTGCATAGATGTGTGGACGATCTCACAGCTCATCTGGTGTTAAGTGGTTTCCGGAGTCCATAGACATCTACAACGTAAATGCGCGACACACCTTGAGATATAATTCTAAGGTCTCAGTATAGTTACAACGGCTGCCCCATCCTTCAAACCGAAACGCATTACTGCTTCGCGGTAGAAATAGGTAGGGTGGTGGTACCTATCCGTGCGGACTCACAAGTGGTCCTACCACCAGTAATTACGCAAATTATAATTTTGCGGGTTTGATTTTTATTACACGATGTTATTCCTTCACCGTGGAAGTCAATCGTGAACATTTGTTAAGTACGCATTCCATTAGAAAAATTGGTACCCGCCCGCAGGATTCGAACACCGTTGCATCGCTAGATACGAATGCACCGAACTTCTTATCCTTTAGGCCATGTCGACTACAAAATACCCTTAGGGAACGTCGAAATATGTGGACTGTAGTGTTAACTTTTCACTTTTACAATCAAACAGATGGTTAAATTACTTAAACACTAAGGGATTGTAAGAATAATAAGTGATTGAGAGCCAATGTGTTTATATGTGACAACCACGTGCGACTTGTCAACGAAGCAATGGAATGTCTTGACGTTTGCCCGCCATGACGAGTGCAACTCTCTTCGGTGTTACCTGCTCTTAATTAAAATCCCTGTTTATTCGGATAAAAAACAATTAATCGATATTATAAGATCAACATAACAAATTATGTTTGTTTGTATTTGTAAATGTAAAAAATATATTTAATTGTTAATCATTCATCATTCTCCTCGATGCCTCCAATGAACACTACGCTAACTCCAAATTCGTAGGTTCACAGGAGGAGCGTTTAAACGAAAAAAGTTGATAAAACCTTTATTATTGCAGATATATTTATGGTTATTTTTTGTGTAACTAGCTGATTTACTCTTGCTTCGAACCCCATCATAATATTTTTAAAATAGTGAAGCGATTTGCGTGAAAAACGAAAATTTCAAAATTTTTAGTTAGAGTAGTGTTCATTGGAGGCATCGTCCTGCCCTTCTTCCAGTCACCTGGGTCGGCGCAACATGTTTTTTCCTTCCATATTCCTCTATCATATACCATTTCTTCGCTCACTCCCTTCTTACCCATATCGTCTTTCACGCAATCCATCCATTTCTTCTTAGGTCTACCTCTTCCTCTATATCCTTCCACATTAATAGTTAACACTCTCTTACCAACCTCATTTTCATTTCGTCTCATCACATGTCCATACCATCCCAAACGCGCACTTCTCAGCTTCTCTGTCACAGGTGCTACTTTCAGACTTCCTCTAAAATATAAAAAAAAATGTCTTTTTATTTAATTGCTTAGATGTGTGGACGAGCTCACAGCCCACCTGGTGTTAAGTGGTTACTGGAGCCCATAGACATCTACAACGTAAATGCACCACACACCTTGAGATATAGTTCTAAGGTCTCAGTATAGTCACAACGGCTGCCCCACCCTTCAAACCGAAACGCATTACTGCTTCACGGCAGAAATAGGCGGGGCGGTGGTACTTACCCGCGCGGGCTCACAAGAGGTCCTACCACCAGTAATTACGCAAAATTATAATTTTGCGGGTTTGATTTTTACTACACGATGTTATTCCTTCACCGTGGAAGTCAATCGTGAACATTTGTTAAGTACGTATTTCATTAGAAAAATTGGTACCCGCCCGCGGGATTCGAACACCGGTGCATCGCTCGACACGAATGCACCGGACGTCTTATCCTTTAGGCCACGACGACTTCAGTTATTGATCATAAATTAATAAATTTAATAAATGTTTCCGAAATGAATTGCTTTGCATTATCTATTAATATAACGAGCCGTTATATGTTTGTTTCAAACAAACACCTGTAATAAAATATTCATGTTCGCGACGTATCTTTCACAAACAACGTCTCAATAAAAATATTACGATGCGAATATCCGAATGACGTTTGTTCATTTGTAAGAGTATATTGTTGAAGTGTGCCAGAAATATACTGAGTCGTATAAAAATATTCATTCATTCCTTTAGACGTAAAATTGAGAGTGTATTGTTAGCTTTTAGAAAGGCTAATGTACCGTCAGGTGTTAAGTGCTTACTGGAGCTTATTGGTGGTATAACATGAACGAAGCTTTTCACCTTTACTTATTTTTATTGCTTTTGTAAATAGAGGTACATACAGTCCGCCTGTAGGTTGATGTCGCTCATGGACATCAATGTTAGAGGCACGCTAAGTTTATCGCCGAACCATGCTTTTTCGTATATTTAATAAAGTTTGGTTTTTCCATTTTAAATTGTGACTTTTTTATGATGACTTCTGTGCTGAAGCTCAGCCTAACTTAAAATTAAAACAAGCTTTCAATTCGAACATCAGTCTAGTTTTGTCACTGCAAATGTTTACTTTTTAATATTAGTATGAAAGTAGCGTATTCCATTAAGGAGAAAGCAGCAAGTGAAATGGGAAAATTGAATTTCCAAGAATTACAGTCTCCTCGATATCATTACTCATTTGTCTACGAGAGTGAAGCGGAGCTACGACTTCCAGCTACGAAGCGCTACGACGTAGCCAAAAACTAATTAACTGTCTAGACACAGTGCTCTATCAGAGTATGTAACTTAATAATGGTATAGTTAGGTGTGGATCTCGTAATGAAAATTTTTGTTAAGCTACGATTTTTGCACTTTTACAAAATAATAAGCACATCTAGACGGCGTACGCTAGATATCCGCATCGAAGATGTTGGGTTTCCGCGGAATGGAACTTGGAGGTTTTCTTAGAGTTGAGTTGGCTGGTTAATTGAGCTAACGAGGAGTGGAAATGGAAACATTCGAGTCCAGGTTAAAATGGTCGCATTGAATGTCAATGTTTTTGGTATAAAACCATCATTTATGCTTTTAAAATTCCCGAAGTTTGGCGGGAACGCGAAGAGCGTAGTTTTGTGAATTATTTTATTTTGTTTGAACTGTTTAGTATCTGTGAAATTTCACAAATTTCGGGAAAATGAAACAGAGCCGCTAGACATAGCTTCTCGGGTTCTTCAAAAAAGTCCACTAAAGTCTCTGTAAGTAACCACCATTTTACTGAGACTTTATTTCATTCCATCTCATCTCGTCTTATTTAATTTCATCCCAATTGTTTACAGTCTAAAATAAATTAACTTCACCTCATTTCATCTACATAATTTTTCATTTATTTCACTCGATATTTTTTTTCATGTAACAGAATATATAAAAGATTAGGCTGGATGGTGTGATACCTTTGCTTTTCCTGTTCGCAAAATGCAAATACTGCTATTGAAAATTTCTGACATAATTTTTTATTTATGTTGTTGATTTTTGCAAAATTTATTAATATTAATAATAGTTTTGGGGTTTTATGAAAACTTTTACTAAGCGATCTACTGCGAAATGTGTGAACTAATACCAGAAGCGGAGAATTGTTGTTATTTTATATCATTAAGGATCGGAATGCTTTTTATTTCCGTTCTAGCTATAGTGAGTGTGCACAATCATAACCTGTTTAGTAAACATGTTTTGTAAAAAAAATTAATAGTTTATTTCGCTAAATTAATTTTTTTGTTTAGTTTCAAAATATAAAAAATCAAAATGATTATTTATTTATTGGTTTCGATTTTTCGCATTACATACAATTTCATGCTAAATTTGATTTACATACGACAAAGGCGTTGATGTGAGTGAGGTAGGTTGAAAATTACTATCGAATAATTCATAAGATAATCGGACGAGTGATCAACTATAATTAGTGACCACTTACCATCAGGTGGGCTGTACGCTCGACTGTCTACAAAGGCAAAAAAAGAAAAGTTGACTATAACTAGTTGATCACTCGTCCGTGAAAGTCGTCGTAGCCTAAAGGATAAGACGTCCGGTGCATTCGTGTTGAGCGATGCATCGGTTTTCGAATCCCGCAGGCGGGTACCAATTTTTCTAATGAAATACGTACTCAACAAATGTTCACGATTGACTTCCACGGTGAAGGAATAACATCATCTAATAAAAATCAAACCCGCAAAATTATAATTTGCGTAATTACTGGTGGTAGGACCTCTTGTGAGACCGCGCGGGTAGGTACCACACCACCCTGCCTATTTCTGCCGTGAAGCAGTATGCGTTTCGATTTCAAGGGTGAGGCAGCCGTTGTAACTATACTTGAGACCTTAGAACTTATATCTCAAGATGGGTGGTGCTTTTACGTTGTAGATGTCTATGAGCTCCAGTAACCACTTAACACCAGGTTTTTTTTTTTTTGGTTAGATGGGTGGATGATTTCACAGCCCACCTGGTGTTAAGTGGTTACTGGAGCCCATAGACATCTACAACGTAAAATGCGCCACCCACCCTGAGATATAAGTTCTAAGGTCTCAGTATAGTTACAGCGGCTGCCCTACCCTTCAAACCGAAACGCATTACTGCTTCACCGCAGAAATAGGCGGGGTGGTGGTACCTACCCGTGCGGACTTACAAGAGGTCCTACGACCAGTGGCCTGTGAGCTCGTCCACTCATCTAAGGATTAAAAAAATGAAATAAAAGTTCGTAACGTCAGAAATAATAATAAAAAATAAACCCTTAAATTAATTTTATGTTCACGGTTCACGAAAACCGAAGAAAATTCTATTAATATTTATATAATAATATATAATGATATATAATAAATTGTTAATCCTATATTGCAGACGACTGGAGGTATTACGCTGAGCGTCATAGAGCAACACTCCAACGTTAGTTATGACAATCTGAAGAATGTTACCACAATCAGAGGTGAATTCAATAAAATATTATTCGGTCTTGTTCCAGACATATAATGCCTGAGTATGAATAGTAACTGAGACCTTAGAACTCATATCTCAAGGTGGGTGGCGGCATTTACGTTGTAGATGTCTATGGGCTCCGGTAACCGATTAACACCAGGTGGGCTGTGAAATCGTCCTGCTGTGAAATGTGACAATAGACCCATAATAATGTTCAAAATTATAATTTAAATTAATTATAATCGAGTTTCGACCATTGGGCGATTACTAGTCATTGCAAATGTCCCTTTGATTAATATTTAATCTAACGAGGATTCGATATTTTTTGTGTAGAATAACACTTAACTTAAGCATGTGTTTTCTGCTGTAGATCCCAACAAAGCGTTCTCACACATCGGGTCGCTGATAAGGTCCGGAGTTACAACCATGTCGGTGTTCTTTATGCTGATGGGCGTCGTTCTGCTATTTGGTACTCTGACTGTTAGTCTTATTTAGAAGCGAAATTTATTAACCGACTTTTTCGGAGGTTTTTTATTCGATAATTTTTTTGAAACGAAATTCCTTATGGGAGGATGCGGAGGGGTACCCTAAACGGGAAAAAACGTCCGTAACGTAAGATTTTTATTAGTAATGCACATAGTGTACGACTTAACTTTGTAATAACGTACAAAAAATAACATATTTCTTTATCATTCATTGACCACGATCTCAGAGCGTTCGTTTGCGCAATACACTAACTCTTATGCAAACAACCGTGAATGAAGTGTACCACAATAAGTTCGCGCTTTACCGAATGACCGTGGGTTGTTGCGAAATCTCCAGTTTTATTTTCTTTATACCTCGAATAGAACTTAAAATTAATATTTTTATAATAAGAAACTTCGTTCCGGTGTCCCACGACACTACACATCTTTTTAAGGTGGTTTTTCGAAGTTGAACTTCTATACCCACGCTTGACTTGGGGAGTGAGATGGTTAATGTGTGACAAGAGCGTTATGAAAAGTGTGATCGGGCGAAGCGAACGGAAGTTGAGAGGGAGATATAAGTTAGTGAAGGTAGAAAGGGAGAGTGCTATATTTCGTATATTACTTTAGGGGAAAAAGCGAGCACACATTTTCTTTCTCTCACTCCCTCATAGCCAGTTACGTTACGTATGTATATCTTTAAAATATAGCTGGCCTATTATATTATCTGTGTCACACTGTAGGAGCAAGCGAGAAAGCAGTGTGTGCATACTACCTTTCTCTCTTAAATAATAGTTTAAATTATTTTATTTTGTATTTCGATGGAAACCGCATCCTCTCGATTACAATAATCTTCCTTTCAGAACTCCGAAGGGATGGTCCAAGTATTCGTATGGGTCCTGTTCTTGAACATAGTATTTGCGTTCTTTCTCGTCATCGCAATTTGCTTCGAGTGCGTGCTATATGACGACAGATGTATCTTTGGGGAGATGGACTGGCTCTCGTCGTCCGCCTTGCTTGTGCTCATAATAACATATTTATTTCGTAAGTAGTCTTTTGATATTAATCACACCGATAAAGATTACACTGGGTTCGAGAATCGAAATACTTATAACTGTATCAATTTGGATACAATAAATGATAGTTTAAAAAAACTAGAAAAAATAAGCTTTTATAGTAAATCCAACTAAAAAATTGAAAATAAATTTTAATTAAAAATAGTGTAAGGAAAAATTATTTTATTGTAAAAAAAGAATGGGTTGCATGGTATCAGTAGTTACAAATATTTTATGAACAGATATGAGAAGAAGGGTTATTTTGATAATATCCTGAAAAGCACCCTTTTTTTTTTTTTCGGGTAGAGTGCCGAACCTCCTACGAGGTACCCGCGCAAAAGGGGCGCGCGGGGTATGTGAGACTCAACGGTCTGCATGGTGTTGTGAGCAGACCGCGGGCCCAAGGATTTTAGGACCCACCCACTAAACGACTCCCCTGCACTCTTACACCCGACGTCCGATCCCCTCCGAGGTCAGAACCCGGATGAGGTAGGGGGGCTACCGCGGTCAACACTACAACCAGATGGCGCGGCTCACCCCAAGGACGCCCAGCCGACGGAGCCTTCGAGGCGAATCGAAGGCTCTGAAACGTCGGCCGTCTCGGTACGGCAGCCCGTCGGGCCGCCCAGACGGTGCCGCTGGTGTCCCGGAATACCCCGCTGGACCAGAACCAGCCTGCCGGGTCGGGACGCGATACACCGTCAACCGGTCGCTCTATTCACTCCACGGCAGCGCGCTAGAGTGCTGGTAGCGCGCCGCGCGGCCTCACCCCCTCAGGTCGCCCCTTGACCTTCACCGGGGGGAGGCCGCTACCTACAGGAGCCGGGACGTACGGGCGTATTCCCGCCTCCGGCCCCCGGCTCGACGGCAACGGATCGGTGCGGAAAGGGAAGAGCTCTCCCTCTCTCGCTCCGCCGCCTCCTTCTGCGAGATGGTGGACTCGCAGAAGTCGAGCATTGCCTTCCAGGACGCGTCGCTGCCGAGCATCGTAGCCACGACGCGCGGCAGCGAGAGGTCCTCTTCTATGACCGCGACGAGGGCGGCGCGTTGCTCGTCGAATCCAGAGCAACGCGCCAATGTGTGTTCCGCCTGAAAAGCACCCTACGCTTTTTTACAATAAAATAATTCTTTTCTTACACTATTTTTAATTCAAATTTATTAAATATTTTTTTTCATTATTTAGTTCAATTTCAATTTTTTCCATTTTTTTTTAAATATTGAATTGTCATCGGTCCTTAGTAAGTATGCCAAATTTTGAGTTAGTCCGACGTTTTGAAGAGGGTCAAAATCATGATCAAATATTCAGATTCATACTAACACACATACGTCTGAAGCTAATAAAAGCGTATTAAAAATATACAGCCTAGGCGTGTTTGATAATATTAAAAAGTGATTCTTATTTCAATGGTATATTTTTGGGTCAATATTTTATCTTACACGTTAAAGCCGAACTTTTTCTTGTACAATAAAGAGTTTTTCAAACCTCAAAGTGGGTGGTATTTAATACTAAAGAATCCAATGTTACAAAAATACTTTTCTATGGTGTTTTTATCTATATATTAATACGTGAAGCAAAAACTTTGTACCCCTTTTTACGAAAATTGCGCGAACGGAGGCGTATGAAATTTCTCACACTTATAGAGAATATAGAGAAGGAGTGCACAATGCTAATATTTTTTTACAATAATGCATAAAAGATACTTTAGATCAATAAAGAAAACATTACACACACTACCATGTATTTGACACAACACATACATAAAAATGTACTCTTTGTTTACTGTCAATTGGGAAACTTTTGTTATTGTTTAAAAAGTCTGGGGTCGAATTGAAAATAGTAGATTAATATTGTTTGTCTTTAATATTATTGATCTGTAGTGCAATTTTGGCGAATACTATGATTATAGTCGAAATATAATAGTGTTTGACAATAGAACCATAATAATGTTTAAACTTATAATTTTAAATAAATTATAGTCGAATCTCGACTACTGCGGGGCCACTAGTTTTCATAATACTGTAAATTACTTCAGGTGAACGGTAAATATTCAAATAGCCTGACGAATAGAATTTATTCGTCATATAATTTGATGGACTTAGCTTTTATACAAACTTTTTTGAGATATTTGAGAAGCGCCGCGTAAACGATGTTTGCCAAACTTTCATGCCTTGTTTGTAGGGATCAAACACTCGTACATAAAAACGAGCTTCACAAACATTGTTACACGTTTTCTCTGGATTTTATTGTGAACGGATTCATCATAAGCAAAAAAGATCAGGCATTAACGTATAATTTAATATTTGTTTTACGCAAAAATCTCAACCATACAGATTTGCGAGTGCTCTGAGGGATTGTTCGAGATGATACCGGCATCTCGTTTTTACCATCGCACCGCCCGCCACCGTAGTAGAGTTCATCCATACTACCTGGAGCCACTGCGGTCATCCACAGTGCGTTTCCAGAGGTCTTTTTTGCCACGTACCATCCGGCTATGGAATGAGCTCCCCTCCACGGTGTTTCCCGAGCGCTATGGCATGTCCTGCTTCAAACGAGGCTTGTGGAGAGTATTGAGCGGTAGGCAGCGGCTTGGCTTTACCCCTGGCATTGCTGAAGTTCATGGGCGACGGTAACCACTCACCATCAGGTGGGCCGTATGCTCGTCTGCCTACAAGGGCAAAATTGTGTGTAACACACACACAATTTTTTATTTATTTTGCCTGTTAGTGGCAAGTAGTTTAGTTAGTGTGCCTGGTATTTATAGAGCTAACCTAAAAGTTGTTCCGTAATTATTTAGAATACGTTAAAGCTTATTGCATTTACTGATATTCAGTTCGAAAAGTTCCAATGATGGTCTTAAGCTACTTCACTTGCGTCGAGAGAAATAAACAAATGAAAAGGGCATTACGAGAAACGTTAAACTACAGTCAATGATTTAGCCACCAAAAAACCTTCGGGAAATACTTCTCGGAAACCTTATAGGTAGTATTTACTTTCTTGGAAATCGACGTTCCCTCCACGCTTGGTGCCACTGAGCTCTGAAAGCGCTGCTCATAGTCGTAATACATAATTTATTTAATACATAGTATCTGGTATCCCCTTATCGTAAAAACAAAAGTTTTAGTCAAAGTCAAAGAGAGGCAGATCTCGAGATACTCTGAGCTCCTTCGGACTATAGATGAACATTAATCAGGAAACATTGCTCATAAACTATTAAACAAAAGCTAGTACAATCATCAAGCATCGCCGAACAACAACTTAGTTGGCCGTGACCACGAAAACTATGGAGTATATCGAACGTGAGAAATTGTAAAAGAAAGCGATATTACTGTTACGTCGGTGCGAGTAACGCCATCTGTCGTCGGATAGCAGAAACGAACATCAAAAGAACTAGTAATATCGAGAACGCTCGAGAAGTATAACGCCATCTATTATCAAATAGCGGAAACACATCGAAACGACTCGCCCTATCGGGAATGTTCTCGGTAATTGTAGAGTTGTCGTGTCGACTATAAAAGCGTTGCAGATTATGACAGGAAAGTAGTTAGTAATCGGATCTACTCGAAGCGAAACAGCAAACGGATCACCTGAAGCGAAGCGGAAGAAGTGAATTACGAATTGTAAAGTATTATGTAAGTGGTCTAAGTCTTTAATAGAGTTTTAATTTGTACTTCGCTGAAAGTTTTATTTATCCCGAACCCCAGCGCATAACATTATTTAACCGATTAGTGACCGTAACACGGCCACTATTATGTGTGCCGGATACTTGTCTTCCTTCGAAAGCTGCAACAACATATGAAGAAGCAACAAGCTCTATGATATAATAGATAGAGATCCTTATCTGCCAATTAATATCGTGACTATATCAGTTCTTCTGAGATCCGAACTCTGGGATAATAGAAAACAGTGCTTACGCGTAAATTAAGCTATGAAGTAAGTCGATTGTATTTAGAAGCACGTTCACTGATTCAAGTTGACGTTCCGTCTTAATAAATAATTAATAAACGAAAATTCTCCCTAAATAGCCTTATCAGTAATTAATTTTCTAAAAGCTTAATAAAATATGGAAGTTTACGAATATTCACGATTTTAAAACGTTGAAGATTCTACGTTCTAAATATTATTATTATTTAGATAGAGATTTTTATTCCATTGAGATTTTGATCTCGTTTCTAGCTGAGTGCTTGTGTTGCCGTCTCTATGTGGCTCCTAAGTGCTACGTATGCTATGTGTGCGTAAGCTAATAAATTTATAAGATTTATTTTATAGATGAAGGCGTAGTAGTATTTTATTTAGTTTTCTTGAGTCGTAGACATAATCAAAACTGGTTTTACGGTTTGATCTTGCCTATTATCGACATTATATAATAGTACTAGCGGCCCGCTCCGGCTCCGCTCGAGTCTTTAACAAAAACGTCAACGATATTTGACGTTGTTTTATTTTTTTAAATAAAAGAGCGGTTATTGCGGCATAACTGTAACTAGAGGTCCCACAGTAGTCGAAATTCGACTATAATTAATTGGAATTGTACACTATTGTTTGTACACTATTATGATTGTATTTATTTTTATACTTCTATAATCACAAATTTCGCCAAGACCACACTATAAAAATATTAACAAAGATAAACAATATTTAATCTATTCTCAATTTGACCACAGACGTCAAGAACCAAAGTTTGACAATAAATAGTATACATGCGTGTGTGCGTCAAATAAATGGTATGTAGTGTGTGTAATGTTTTCTTTATTGATTTAATGTATATTTTATGCATTAATTTAAAAAAATTAGCATTGTGCACTTCTTCTCTATATTCTCTATAAGTATGGAAAATTTCATACTCCTCAGTCCGCGCAATTTTCGTAAAAAGGGATACAAAGTTTTTGCTTCACGTATTAATATATAGATAGTTAGAAATATGCGATCGCGACACTTTTTGTAAACAATAAAGTGTTCTACAAAGTCGTAGTACATTATTTTATTCTATCATTAATAGTTTTCGCAGGGCACGCGATGTAAAGAATATTTTAGGTATTTTTAAACCTTGAGTTACATTATTAAAGTTTTAGTAAGGATCCCTATTTTTTTTCAAAAAAAGAATATAGCCTATGTCACTCGGGAATAGTGTAGCTTCCAAACTGTGAAAGAATTTTTCAAATCGGTTCAGTAGTTTCGGAGCCTATTCAATACAAACAAACAAATCGTTCCTCTTTATAATATTAGTATAGATATCCCGATGTAACGAATGCTTTACAGTTTTCGATATTATTAAAATTCATTTTACGAAAAAGGCGTTCGATTAAAATTCAATTTGCTTTCGAATTTCTCCAATATCAAAACTCTGACATGTCAAATAAATGAATTTATTTTTTCTTTTTTTTTGTTAGATGTTTTAAACAATTCAATTATTCCTCTACCTAGTGTTGATCAAGCTGTGGGATAGTCTCCGCTTAATTAGTCGTGCAAACAACAAATAAAGTATTTCACTATAGCTTATTAATTCAATTGATATTAATAAACATGGCATCGATGTCGTCAATCTCCTTTGATGTGTGATAATTTCATGTGTATACGCCCTTTGAATTCGTTTTTAATTAAGCAGTGGCTTATCTGTGCCCCTGGCATTGCTGATGTCCACGAGCGACAGTCACCACTCACTATCAGATCGACTGTATGTTTATCTGACAAGAACGTAATAATAGTGTTACGCCGGTAATAGTAACGCCATCTATCGCCGAATAGTCGAACGAATATCGAAGGATCTAGTAGTACCCAGAATATTCCAGAATTACAACGCCATGTATTGTCAGATAGTAGAAAAACAATACTAGAAATGAGTGGAATACTCTCGATAATTCTAGGAACGTGGTATCGGCTATAAAAGCGATGCAGAGATGGCACGCAGTCGGTCAGTAATCGGAACTACTCGAAGCGAAACAGCGAACGGATCACCTGAAGCAAAGCGGAACAAGCGAATTGAGAGTTTTAAAGTGTTTGTTGAGTGTTTTAAAGTGTTTGTGAAGTGTTTAAGTGCTTTCAGTGTTGAATACAGTTTTTAAGTTGTACTTTGGTGAAATTTTATTTATCCCGTACCCCAGTGCGTAACAATAGTAAAGTTTACTGAGAAAAACGTGGTCAACTGATTTAAATCAACTCTCTCTCCGTTAAACGACAAAGCAAGGCCCAACTAATTCGTTCACCAGACGGACACAAAAGTTTCGTACTGACGCGCGACGTACATACGGCAACGAGCTTTTTTTTTATTTTTTGAGCTTTCAGACCGAAGCTTACTAATTGAAAGTGGACCGTAGGAAAACGTACGAAAAAAACATTAATGAACTAAAAAGCTGTCTGCTGCTGTCTGGTTTCATGGAAATTAACTTCGCTGTGAAATATTTGGAACTATTTTATTTCGCTCTTGTGTTTAATACAGAATAAGAGGATCATTGAAAAAATATCGTTTATGTTTGATTTTTCAGAACATCACGGCTTCATCAATAATTATCAATCTAATTATATGTACTTACGCTTACAGAAGCAAATCATTTTTTTTTCGTCCATTTTCCATGGTCTAGTAACTTATTTCTGCATATTACTATGGGCTAGTCGTTTATTTTCATATATTGCTATAGGTCAGAAGTTTATTTTATATTGAGTGCAGCGGATTTATGATGTATTCGGTTTGCAGTGAGCCAATAGTTTATTTCTAATTATTGCTACCGGCCAGTAGATTAATAGTGTTTTTGGGTTTGCTTATAAGGCCAGTAATTTATTTGTCTTTCCATTATAGAAACAGTTTTGATATATTGGGTATAATATTCGATAATTTTTTTATTTTCCTTATTGCCATTATAGGCAGACGAGCATACGGCCCACTTGATGGTGAGTGGTTACCGTCGCCCATGGACTTCAGCAATGGCAGGGGCAGAGCCATGCCGCTGCCTACCGTGCTAATGCTACTTAACTTCCTTATCCTATTAGCAAATAACTTAAAAATAAATCTGTAAAATCCATCAAGCCGTTCTCTTGTAATGTGCTCCGTCATGCGGTAAGACTTCTGATTTTAATACACTTTTATTAGCTTCAGACGTATGTATGTTTGTAACGGAATCTTTGAACATGATTTTAACCCGCTTCAAAACGTCGGATTAACTCGAAATTTGGTATACTTATTAAGGACCGATGACAATTCAAATTAAAAAAAAAATTGAAAAAATAAACAGAAAAAATTTAAATTTAACTAAAAAATTAAAAATAAATAATAGTTTAAAAAAACTAACTAAATACGCTCTTATAGAAAATCCAACTAAAAAAATAGAAAATCAATTAAATAAAATTATCAATAAAATAAAATTAATTTTCTATTATTCATTTATTTACATAGATATATTTTGTTACAGTTTGGATATATTTTATATCTGTGGCGAACGGTTACGTTATGAACGAAAGCTAGTGAAAATAAACACGAAAATCATGCAAGGAGTAAGTTAAGCTGTATTTATTTTGTTATTGAATAAATAAACGTTCTCAGCGCTTGTGATTTATTTTTCATTTCATTACGCGATTTTTTTTCCCGAAGCAGGAATTTTAGAACGTTCTTAAATTGCTCGAATTTACGATGCATCTGAAGTCGTCGTGGCCTAACGGATAAGACGTCCGGTGCATTCGTGTTGAAGCGATGCACCGGTGTTCGAATCTCAGGCGGGTACCAATTTTTCTAATGAAATACGTACTCAACAAATGTTCACGATTGACTTCCACGGTGAAGGAATAACATCGTGTAATAAAAGTGAACCCGCAAAATTATTATTTGCGTAATTACTGGTGGTAGAACCTGTTGTGAGTCCGCGCGGGTAGGTACCACCGCCCTGCCTATTTCTGCCGTGAAGCAGTAATGCGTTTCGGTTTGAAGGGTGGGGCAGCCGTTGTAACTATACTGAGACCTTACAACTTATATCTCAAGGTGGGTGGCGACATTTACGTTGTAGATGTCTATGGGCTCCAGTAACCACTTAACACCAGGTGGGCTGTGAGCTCGTCTACCCATCTAAGCAATAAAAAAAAATGCACCAGTGTAAAATTGATTTTGTGTAAAATCTAATTCTATTTTCGGCAAAGCCGCGAGCTTATTATTGTCAAACTTTTCACACAAATAACCCGGCTCTCGGTGCTTTTAATTAGAACGTGGTTCGCCTGGGGAGAAAAAAATACATTATAGAAACAAATTATAATGATAATTATCTATTTTAACAGACGTTCTAAATATAACATACTTATTTGATGTCTACAATGTTGTTTTATTTCCTTAATTCTGATAATAAAGAGTAAATAAATTACTGTGACTTCATACTTTTTGTATACCTATATAATAATATATCCTTCTTCTTTTTCTACCTTCGATTTCTTTAATAACTGAGGGCTGTGATTACCACCGCAACAAGAGTTTATTCTTTTTTTTTTTAGCTTAAATTGGTAGACGAGTTCACAGCCCACCTGGTGTCAAATGGTTACCAGAGCCCATAAACATCTACAACGTAAATGCGCCACCCATCTTGAGACATAAGTTCTAAGGTCTCAGTATAGTTACAACGGCTGCCCCACCCTTCAAACCGAAACGCATTGTGACTTCACGGCAGAAATAGGTAGGGCAGTGGTACCTACCCGTGCGGATTCACAAGAGGTCCTACTACCAATAAAATTCAGTATTCTGGATCATTCTAAGCCATTTGCTTGATCTTATAATATGGTGTTTCGAATTTGATGAATCAAATTACAATATGCGATTTTGTGTCTTAGCGTGAGCTCGAAAATTCATAGTTATGTATTTATTTATTTATTAAATGGATAAACGCATTTTACACAGCTAATTTGGCTTAAGTCATTACCGTGGTTCGTAGAAATCGCTTTGTGAATCTCACCACGCACCTTAATAAAGGTCTTCGTTTTTTTTACGTGTATTAAGGCCTGCTTGTAATTTCGGCATAGACTTTACGCTCCTTATAATTTACGATTTAAAATTCAAATGAACATCAAAACGCTTAGGATTCACCTTGAACGAAGCTTTTCAAAGGCATCTGGAAAAGAGGCTAAATACGATTGAGAAAAATGTGATTTTCCGTATAGGTACGTTTCTTTGCTATGCTACATTTGATTTCATCGGTCGCGGAACACGTATTCCCGCCATATATAGAGTGTTCGAGAACTATCCCCTCGATTGCTGATGCGAAAGTTCTAGTAAACGACAAACCTCGCGTGAACGGTAAATAATACTATTTTTAATTTGTACTGTTAGGCGGGTAAGAGTAACGCCATCTATCGTCGAATAGCAGAAACGAATATCAAAAGAACTAGTGATAACGAGAACGCTCGGGAAGTGCAACGCCATCTATTATCAAATAGCGGAAACATAAAACATATAGAAACGACCGGCTTTCCCGAGAATTATGTTGATAATTCTAGGGATTTCGTGTCTGCCGTAGAATCTTTGTCCTGGTAGGTAGAAGTTGAGGCATCTATTTCCGACTTCGTCTGGCTTAAATGGCCGTACCATCGGAATTGACTTTCTACGTCACAAACCTCAAAGCTGGTGTAGGAATGTAGTCGTAATGTCTAAGTAAACAAAGCGTTGTTTTATTAATATCACATTTTATGAACCCTCAATGTAATGCAACTGAAGATTTCAGATGTTGCTCGCATCTACTTGGGTTCGCGGATACTTCTGTTGTATTAGCATTCCGACAGCTGTCCTCATTTTCAAGAACGATTCAAACACACCCTGTATAATGTATAATATGTGAAGACGAGAAGCAGCTCTATCCTTTCTTCGTCTGTTTATCAATCGATTTTCTATTATTTTAGTAGCTACTGATGCGCTTTGGGTTTTCAATAAGGAATTTTGTAAATAAATTTGTAGGCAGCGGCTTGGCTCTGCCCCAGGCATTGCTGAAGTCCATGGGCGACGGTAACCACTCACCATCAGGTGGGCCGTATGCTCGTCTCCATACAAGGGCAATAAAAAAATAGAAAGACAGAAATCGCTAATGACAAAACAATATAATAATACACAAAACAAATCTAAGTTTCTTTTCTGATTGATGGATCACTGTTGGCCCGGAGGCTTTTCCAGTTTGGATTTAAGTCTTGAGGTGTCAATAACTAAATAATTAGTGAAATTAAATTAACTTAAATTTTGAAACTTCTATGGTGAAGGAATAGTACCGTGTAATAAAAATCACACGCGCAAAAATCTAATTTTCGTAATTACTGGTGGCAAGCGTCTTCTAAGTTCGCACCGGTAGGTACCACCACCCTGCCTATTTCTGCTGTGAAGCAGTAATGCGTTTTAGTTTGAAGAATGGGACAGCTGTTGTAGTCTGAAAACTAAGACCTTCCAACTCTTGTCTCAAGGTGGCATTTTCGTTATAGATGTCTATAGGCTCCGGTAACCACTTAAAACCAGGTGGGCCGTGAGCTCGTCCACCGATCTAAGCAATAAATAAATAGTACCAATTGAGGTACGAATGACGAAGTATTAACATCGTGTACTTAAATCAAAATCAAACCAAAAAGTTATTTTGCTCGTATAGTCGTATTTACGGCATGTCTGGGGTAGGTAATATCATCGTAGCCATTTCTGCCGCGAAGCTATCATACAGTTACAACGGCTACCCCACCCTTCGAACCGAAACGCATTACTGCTTCACGGCGGAAATAGGCGGGGTGGTGGTACCTACCCTTGTGGACTCCCAAGAGGTCCTACCACCAGTAATAAATTGAGAGCTTATGTTTCAAAATGCAAGACATTTTGGGTTTGGATTTATCTGCTCTTTGGAATCGCATCGTACCAAAATAGCAGTCGTAATGTTTGTAAGAAGTAGTCGAAAAGTCATTATTATCACTATCCGAATGTGAAGGCAAGTCCACACGTCATTAATAAAAATCTCCTACACAGACTCGAGACAGCTTCGGATGTAGATGAAAGAGCTTTTGTATGTCTTCAGAGAGAAGCTAAAAATGAAATATCGTCGCATTCTTTCGTTTCCAATTCAATGGTTTATCAGACCAGACAAACAAATATTTTTCTGTCCACTATTTAATCTCTCTTTTTCCAGCTATTTATCCCACATGGTAGTGGGGTCAGCTTTCCTCATTTTACTCCTCCGTTTCGCTCTGTCTTCGACATCCTCATCAGCAACATTGCTTTCCCTTTAACCTTCAGCACTACATCAATATTTAATACAAGCGGCCCGCTCCGGCTCCGTTCGGGTCCTTAACAAAAATTTCTACAATAATTGACTTTGTTTTATTTTTTAAAATAAAAGAACACTTATTGCGGCGTAACTATAATAGTTAGATATATGCTGTCGCGACACTTTTTGTAAATAATAATGTGTTCTACAAAGTCGTAGTACATTATTTTATTCTATCATCAATAGTTTTCACGTTTTTTCGCAGGTCACGCGATGTAAAGAATATTTTAGGTAAGTTTTTTACACTTTGGGTTACATTATTGGAGCTTTAGTAAGAACCACTTATTTTTTTCAAAAAAGATAAGAATAGTGTAGCTTCCAAACAGAGAAAGAATTTTTGAAATCGGTTCAGTAGTTATGGAGCCTATTCAATACAAACAAACAAACAAATCTTTCCTCTTTATAATATTGGTATAGATTTAATATTGAATATTAAATCCAATATTTAACATGTAGTGTAGTACATATAAGTCATGTAATTTGTAACAATAAAGAAATATTAAACCAACACTTTGACAAGACAGTTATTTTCATTCGAACTAGAAACTCCCCTCATGGCGATCCTGCCTTTTTTGGATCGAGCAACGCGGCGGGTCAAGTTTCGGCTTTCAAACTAGTGCAGTGGACTCTTGTACCTACGTTCAAAAATGATACAATCAAAAAGAAAGTTACCGGCGTAATCTGCAAACATTCAACACTATTTTATTTAAGTTTTGCCACGTACCATTCAGCTTTGGAATGAAATATTTTTAGCGACGTATCCTGAGCGCTATGACATGTCTTTCTTCAGACGAAGTTTGTGGGAGAGTACTTAGCTATAGGCAATAGCTTGACTGGGTCCATAGTATTGCAATGAATATGAGCGGTAACCACGCATCATTAGCTCGTCTGCCCACGAAGGCAATGAGAAAGAGACGTTAGAGTAAATAGTAGTAGTTATTGCTATTTTAAGAATGTTAATTAAATACCCCCTGTATTCGTACAGATGTAGACGCAATTCGCTGAGGAAACATCCCATATTAGTAATGTAACATTATTGAATAACGAACACATTGGAGTAACTTAACGCTAACTTAACAACTATATGGTAGTACTAAGAATGGCTAGATAGATCTAGTAATATAGATAATATATGTGAAGGCTTTATACATATATATTTTTTGAGTTGAGTATTATATGTTTCCTTTTCAATTTAAAATGTATA